AATCCCCACTTTAAATATATGAAAGCTTTAATTAGTTAATAAGTGTTTTAAGTTACGGTGGGTGTGCATGCACTATTGTTAGGTATGGCTTTCACTGTCACACAACTTACTTTTTATTGTAATATTTTACCATTTAAGTTTTATTCAAATTTTATTTTAGTTGATGATATTTCACTTAACAAATTAATAGTCAAACGCGTAGAATTTTATACTTCCTCGAGGCTATCCCTAGAGTTTTGACACGATAATTAGCTAAGATATGTAAGAAAAGAAGAATAAAATAATCAATAATATGCCAACTTTATAGTTAATTTTTGTCCATTTCTAATTGATTTTACTATCATGACAATACGGCCTAAAATAAAGTTTGAATTAAAAACGGGGGGTAAAAAATAAAATTTACACCATGTCATCAGTTCCATGTGTTTCATTTTAACAAGCATAAAAGGTAAATTACATTTTGTCCTTTTTATATTTGATTATTTTCTCACTGGCTCTTGAATTTTTTTTTCTTTTTTTCATATTTCAAGTTTTTTTTTTTCAATTAGTGGTGAGGCTAACTTATGTCAAAATTTAGACATAAAATGACATATTAACAGCAATGTGATATAAAAATATTTTATTATATATAAAATTTAGACATAAAATGACATATTAACAGCAATGTGATATAAAAATATTTTATTATATATAACTCACACATTTGACATAAAGCCAAACACCAGTATAATAATATTTTTTTTATATCATGTGGTAGCTAATATGGTTTTTTTTTTTGGGGGGGGGGTCTAATTTTGAATAGATGTTAGTCTTAGGAATAAATTATGAAAATTTTGAAACATAAAGGGCCAAAGTGAAAAAAAAAAAAAAAACTTCAAAGACCATAGTAGAAAAATGGCCAAATATAAAGGGGTAGAGTGTAATTTACCCCAAGCATAAATTATGCTAGCTATTTTTTTAGATTTGAAAAAAATATATCAAGGCTTATAAGTTTGGCATAATTACACAGTATTCGTTTATGGCTTTAATTTATATAATACTTAATATCCATGACAAATTACACTGATAGTCCCTACAATTTGCCTTGTTTGTCGTTTTAGTTTGTACACTTTCAATTGATTTTAGATTTTATCAATTTGGTCCTACTGACAATGGCATTAGGGTCTTTTTCAAAAAATAATTAAAGAATTTACCCCAAGCATAGTAGAAAAATGGCCATAGTAGAAAAATAACTTCAAAGGCCATAGTAGAAAAATGGCCAAATATAAAGGGGTAGAGTGTAATTTACCCCAAGCATAAATTATGCTAGCTATTTTTTTAGATTTGAAAAAAATATATCAAGGCTTATAAGTTTGGCATAATTACACAGTATTCGTTTATGGCTTTAATTTATATAATACTTAATATCCATGACAAATTACACTGATAGTCCCTACAATTTGCCTTGTTTGTCATTTTAGTTTGTACACTTTCAATTAATTTTAGATTTTATCAATTTGGTCCTATTGACAATGGCATTAGGGTCTTTTTCAATAAATAATTAAAGAATTGGTTAAAATTAACTCACTAAACTGATCACTACTAGAAAAAACACTTTCCGTGACGAACATGTTTAGTCGCGAAAAGTATCATATTTGGTCGCTAAAACCTTTTTGCGACCAAAATATGTTGGTCGCGAGTTGGTCGCTAAAGCCTCGTCACAGATAGTTTTCTGCGACCAAAAAAGCTTTTGGTCGCTAAAATTGACCATTCGCGACCAACTTTTTTGGTCGCGAAAAGTCCAATTCATATTAGCCAAAAGTAAACTTTTAGCGACCAAAGATAAATTGGTCGCCAAAAGTCAGTGCCTTGACCCAAAAAAAATAATTCTTTTGTGCTCCCTGGGACTTAAACTCTTGACCAAGGAGTCACCATGCACCCAATCCACTCTGCCACTCTGCCAATAACATACTTATTGTTCATATTTAACAAAAAACATATATAACCCATAAAAAGTGGGTTATATATTATTTTATAAAACTTTTAATGCCTAAATAGAAAAATAGCATGTAATTACTGTAGTATCATTTTTTTTAAAAATTTATCCCGCCATAACTTTCCGCGACCAACTTTTTTTTTTGGTCGCCAAAGGGTAATCTTCAGCGACAAAAAAAGCCTCTGGTCGCCAATAGTAGACTTTTCGCGACCAACTTTTTTTTTTGGTCACCAAAAGGTGATCGTACAACGGCGACGATCCAGCGACAATCGGCAGCTCTGCAGCGCGACAGCAACGACGATACGGTCTTCTCTCCTCCTCTCTTCTTCTCTTCTCTTCTATGTTCTTTAAATCTGCGAACGATGTAATACTTTTCTAAATCTTTTTTTTTCCTTTTCAAATTTCAGATATAATTCTTCTCCCATTGATTTGAGCCGTTGTTGTTGTTGAGAGAGGGATAGATCGAAGAAGATATGATGAGATGATATCCAGATTATTTCCTCTACGACCTGGCATTTTTTCCGGAATGATAGTAATTCGAGTTGAGTTCCAAACTTTTTTAAGGAGGAAGACTGTAAAATCCATGACAATGTGATTAGCCTATAATCCTTGATTAAGAATGCTCTTACAAGTAATTATGATGAAATCCTAAGTTAATTGACGTTGTCATGTGTTATTTGGTTTTATATTTGTTTGTTGTAAGAATATATGTCGATAATTCTGCTTGAAATTGTAATTAAAGGCCTTATCAGCCACCAAATATAAATTGACTAGGCTTAATTAGAAGTTTGGAATATTATGGTAAGCTAATTAAAAAATTCGATTCGGAATCAAATAGTTAGAATAAATAAATTATTAAGTTGAATCCAACTTCGCTCTAATCATAATTAATTAGCCTAAGATAATCAGCATGTAAATAGGCCACTTGTAATTGAGTAAGACTCATTTCTATCATATTTGAGCACAAAATGTAAGGGGGAGAGAGAATTGGAGTGAGAGCAAACAAGTTGTAGAAGATTGGAGATTTGACTTGGAATCAAGCTAAGATTTGGAAATTGGGGAAGAACAACTAGAATTCTTGTTAATTCAGAACTTTAGGTGGAGTAATCAACTCCCTACCTTCTGTGTTTCAGCCATTAATTGTAAATCCAAAAAGTTTAAGGGAATTAAGCAGAGAATTGAGCTAAGGAAAAAGAAAAAAAGAGCACATCATGCACGCATGCTCACGTCATCATGATTTGAGTTTATTTTCCAAGAAATCTCCTTATGCATGTCATTGTTCTAACTTGGTTTTGGGAATTCATCATGTCTACTTCATTTTATCTCAATTTAACATGTTCTGGAAGAAAAGAACTCATATCAATTCATGCATGTTTTTATAGATTGAATTTCAGTTTAGTTTTGGATAATTGACAATGCTTTTGGACTTGATTTACGAAATGGTTTTCAATTCATGATGAATTATGAGTTTCTACATTGTTTCATAAGTTTTGGCCCAAAGAAGATGTGTTTTGATGCTTTGAATCAAGGTTTGAAGCTTGGAGAGCAATCTCAAAATTCAGAATTTGATCGCATCCTCGAGTGACCAAACCGTTGCTCAAGCGTAAATTTCGAGCTTCTAGTATTTTTGCAGAGATTGATGGTTGGCTCGAATGACTGAAAGACCGCTCAATCAACCACCCTTGTTTTTTGAACCTTGACTTGAGCGACCAAAAGTTGGTCGAGCGTAAAAAGAGAGCTTCAGTACTTCTGCAGACTTTGCAGACCACTCGAGCGACCAAAGTTTCGCTTGAGCGAACTGCCCTGTTTTTCAAATTTTGCAAGTGTTTTCAAAGTACATGTTTGCACCTTCATTGCATCCTAGGCATTCCTAGGCCATGATTAAGCTATAATAATGAGGATAAGAGTTAGAAACACATGTTAAAAAAGAAGAATGATAAGTTAAGCACCTATGGAAGTGTGTTCAATGTGTATCTGTCACGTGTTTGTGTAGGTCACATGTTATCACCGCCTGATCAGTTTGTTTTGTCCAAGTGATCTGTTCTACTATTGGAGCTATCTATGAATAATAACTCTGTAAAGTTATATTTGATTATAAATATTTTCAAAATGATATGTATGATCTGTTTTTGTGAAATGCTATTTTGTGAAGCATAAATGACTGTCCAGTTTTTCTAAAATGTATTCGTTGCATCCTTAACATCAAGTGTTCATGTGACCTGGTACCAGGGTTTCAAGTGGGTTTCATTCATGGAATTGGTTATGCATAATCGCTTATATGATCTGCACGTGGGTCTTTATGACCAAGTGATTTGTGAGCTAATGGATATACCATGATAACTGTTTAAAAAATCTAGATACGTATGTGAATCTGAATCTGTTCTGTTTTGAAATCTGATTTCTGAATTTGTTTTGGACATCATTCATAAACCATTTATTCTGTTGTTATTCACTGAGTTCCAGCTCACTGTATTATTTATGTATGTAAGTAATCAGGTGCGTGATCAAGCCAAGTTACTGCCTGGATCTGTTTTGTATCGGCTAATCTGTGCACCTCCCAAGGAGGTTCCCGGAATGCTTCAAGTGGTCGAAATTTGTGAACTAAGTTTGAGACTTTTGTTTCTTTGGTAAAGTTTGAGCAAGTTTTGTGCACTCTATATATAGGGCTAAACCCCTTTGTTATATCCGTACATGTGACGTTACCATAAATATGATTATAAGTTTAAATTTTATATCCCATATATGTTGCACAACTCTATGGACAATATATTTTGATATTTGCTTCTGCTAGCCCCTTATTTTGTTGATATGTTTAGAGGCCTTCAATAATTTGAGAATTATTGTACAATTACGATGCTAAACCTATAGGGGCAGGTTTGGGTCGTGGTAGAAATTTAGCCCAAACTCATGATCCCACTCATATACCTAATCCAATTAAATAGGCTTAAATGAGTTGCTCATTGTCAATCCAATTAAAATTAAATTTACATGGATTGGACATAGGTACATATTTAACGTCGTCTAAATGGGCACCACTTTTACCACTAATCCACTACCACCATCGCGTTATGACTCCACCACCACCATGTCCTCCTCCCACCACCAACACCAACACCACTCCTCCTCCTTCACCATTGCCACTCCTCTACCACCACCACCACCACCATTTCCACTCTACTACCATCGCCATTCATCACCAATGCCACACCACCACCGCCAACACACCACCACCACAATGGCCTCTTCCACAACCATCACTACCACCTCCTTCACCACCGCCATTGCCACTCCCACACCACTCCTCTACTATCGCAACTCACCACCACTACTACCGCCGCCACTACATCACCACACCGCCGCAAACGACATACCACCAATACCACCTCCTCCTCCACTACTGCCACTCCACCACCACCACCTCTACTACCATCCACACACCACCACCATACAACATCGTCACTCACCGCCATCATCGCCATCACCACTACTACTTTGGTACCACCATTCCGCTTTGCCACCACCATCGTCATCATAAAAAAAATTAAAAAATAAATTTTTTAGAAATAAAAAAAAAAATAGTTTTTTTTAAAAAAAAAAATAATAAAAAATAAAAATAAAATATTGAACTAAATGTGTTGGTTAGTTCATTTGTCTAACTCGTATCTAATTCAACCCAACCTACTTAGCCCATTTACTAAATGAACTAATTTAGATTGAATTGCTTTAAATACATAACCGTTTGACCCGCTCACACCTGTCCATTTCCACCACTACTCAATCCCCACTTTATATATATGAAAGCTTTAATTAGTTAATTAGTGTTTAAGTTAAGGTGGGTGTGCATGCACTATTGTTAGGTATGGCTTTCACTGTCACACACATACTTTTTATTGTAATATTTTACCATTTAAGTTTTATTCAAATTTTATTTTAGTTGATGATATTTCACTTAACAAATTAATATCAAACGCGTAGAATTTATACTTCCTCGAGGCTATCCTAGAGTTTTGACACGATAATTTAGCTTAAGATATGTAAGAAAAAAAGAATAAAATAATCAATAATATGCCAACTTTATAGTTAATTTTTGTCCATTTCTAATTGATTTTACTATCATGACAATACGGCCTAAAATAAAGTTTGAATTAAAAACGGGGGGTAAAAATAAAATTTACACCATGTCATCAGTTCCATGTTTTCATTTTAACAAGCATAAAAGGTAAATTACATTTGTCCTTTTTATATTTGATTATTTTCTCACTGGCTCTTGAATTTTTTTTCTTTTTTTTTCATATTTCAAGTTTTTTTTTTTCAATTAGTGGTGAGGCTAACTTATGTCAAAATTTAGACATAAATGACATATTAACAGCAATGTGATATAAAAATATTTTATTATATATAACTCACACATTTGACATAAAGCCAAACACCCAGTATAATAATATTTTTTTATATCATGTGGTAGCTAATATGGTTTTTTTTTTGGTGGGGTGTCTAATTTTGAATAGATGTTAGTCTTAGGAATAAATTATGAAAATTTTGAAACATAAAGGCCAAAGTGAAAAAAAAAAAAAAAACTTCAAAGACCATAGTAGAAAAATGGCCAAATATAAAGGGGTAGAGTGTAATTTACCCCAAGCATAATTATGCTAGCTATTTTTTTAGATTTGAAAAAAATATAACAAGGCTTATAAGTTTGGCATAATTACACAGTATTCGTTTATGGCTTTAATTTATATAATACTTAATATCCATGACAAATTACACTGATAGTCCCTACAATTTGCCTTGTTTGTCGTTTTAGTTTGTACACTTTCAATTGATTTTAGATTTTATCAATTTGGTCCTACTGACAATGGCATTAGGGTCTTTTTCAAAAAATAATTAAAGAATTTACCCCAAGCATAGTAGAAAAATGGCCATAGTAGAAAAATAACTTCAAAGGCCATAGTAGAAAAATGGCCAAATATAAAGGGGTAGAGTGTAATTTACCCCAAGCATAAATTATGCTAGCTATTTTTTTAGATTTGAAAAAAAATATATCAAGGCTTATAAGTTTGGCATAATTACACAGTATTCGTTTATGGCTTTAATTATATAATACTTAATATCCATGACAAATTACACTGATAGTCCCTACAATTTGCCTTGTTTGTCATTTTAGTTTGTACACTTTCAATTAATTTTAGATTTATCAATTTGGTCCTATTGACAATGGCATTAGGGTCTTTTTCAATAAATAATTAAAGAATTGGTTAAAATTAACTCACTAAACTGATCACTACTAGAGAAAAACACTTTCCGTGACGAACATGTTTAGTCGCGAAAGTATCATATTTGGTCGCTAAAACCTTTTTGCGACCAAAATATTTGGTCGCGAGTTGGTCGCTAAAGCCTCGTCACAGATAGTTTTCTGCGACCAAAAAAGCTTTTGTCGCTAAAATTGACCATTCGCGACCAACTTTTTTGGTCGCGAAAAGTCCAATTCATATTAGCCAAAAGTAAACTTTTAGCGACCAAAGATAAATTGGTCGCCAAAAAGTCAGTGCCTTGACCCAAAAAAAATAATTCTTTTGTGCTCCCTGGGACTTAAACTCTTGACCAAGGAGTCACCATGCACCCAATCCACTCTGCCACTCTGCCAATAACATACTTATTGTTCAATTTAACAAAAAACATATATAACCCATAAAAAGTGGGTTATATATTATTTTATAAAACTTTTAATGCCTAAATAGAAAAATAGCATGTAATTACTGTAGTTTCATTTTTTTTAAAAATTTATCCCGCCATAACTTTCCGCGACCAATTTTTTTTTTGGTCGCCAAAGGGTAATCTTCCGCGACAAAAAAAAGCCTCTGGTCGCCAACAGTAGACTTTTCGCGACCAACTTTTTTTTTTTGGTCGCCAAAAGGTGATCTTCCACGACCAAAAAAGCCTTTGGTCGCCAATAGCATACTTTCCGCAACCAATTTTTTTTTGGTCGCCAAAGGGTATACTTTCCGTGACCAACTTTTTTTTTTGGGCCCCAAAAGGTGATCTTCCGCGACAAAAAGCCTTTGGTCGCCAATAGTATACTTTCCGCCGACC